CGATTATGCTCGAGAGGCCTTGAAGAAACCCTACACTATCCCGTGATGACGACTGAACCACAGAGGGTCCGCAACTCCGTGACCATGATTCCTGGCCAGGATACTCCCCAGATTGCAATCCAACGTAACACATACGATAAGTCTTGGACATGAGCTCGGTTTGAATTAGTCAAAGCTGTCTAATGAGCCATGAATGCTCTTACTTCATAGGTGTGTAAGACCATGCCCCAAACAGTGACGGCTGCTTTTACAGCCAAGGGTGATTTCCCCCTCACATTATGATCGTATATTAAGACAGGTTTTTGTTTCGGTGAGGAGTGGCTTTCAGTGGAACAGGAAGGCAGAATTGCGTCCACTTGCTCAACTCATTTTCTTACATTCTATAAGCATCTATTACTAATACGAATATCATGAACGAATGGTAATCTTAGGGATTCCGCGCTCGCAGCTTTTAAATTGAGTAGTGAAACTTCATTCGTTTAAAAAGTGATTCCGGAGGATTGACATCGTGCCCAGATGATATTCACTTAGTACTTCTGTAATAAAATTGCGCATGCGCACGAATTAAACAGCCTGTTGACACCTGTGTCATTTCTACGTTGAACCATCGATTCAGCGTCGCTTTCAGGTTGACACAATAAATTTCAACATGGGATCAACATTGATAGGGCAATGTTGTTTCGACACTAGCTGCGTTGACATTAAATGTTGAATCTTCGAAAAGCGAGATTCAATGTTCTTCACAACCCCAAGGAGATGAAGCTTCAAAAGTGCCGGAACGATTCTGTGTTGAAAGAGGAAGAAGTACGTCATATTTTCTTACTGTTGATGCTCTCAGAGAGGAATGCGATGAGCCTTAACTTATTTGTGAGAATGGATTGAGTAAAGATACGTAGTAATGTACGCTGCCGCACCTATTGATTAAGAGCAGCGCGATTTACAAATACGACAGATGACTTTCCTCCTGCCACAAATGATAGATTCGGACTGCATTGTTCGTTAAGAAGATTTCTTGTGTGTTTCCCCACACATCACACATTGGACAATAAATGACATTGTTCTTCCGCTTCACTCTAGCCGTTGCCTTTAAACTTCTATTCCTCTCTTCTTTTCCATATTAATTGGCAGTTGATAATGGAAAAGGACACTTGCGAAGCCTCTAATGAGACAGAAAAAAAACGTGAACCTATTGCCGTATGGCAAGATGAAGGCGATCCAGCACTTGTACTGGGCAAGAGCCGAAGAAACGCATTGGCATTTATTGAACCAATGGACTTTTATTCACTTCCGGTGATAAGAGAGAGTAATACAGCATTGCTCTATGATATTTATGAGAGTGACACACGCACACTCACACAAGCATACACACTCACACTCACGCACATACATACCCAAAGACACACGGGATTAAGTGGACACATTGCGAGGTGGAGGCAAGACGCAATTGAGTTTTTAAAAATATTTTGACGGATGCGGACACGTTGCTGACGTATTCAAGGCTTAATTTCCTTAGCTGGGAATCCATCACTTTCCGTTCGAGTTCTTGAGTTCTAGATTTTTCCATACCTGAAATCCCAAAGGTGGAGATATATTTCTTTCAGAATATATAATATAAAAAATAGTATGTATGCGCGCTCGAAAGTGAGTCAAAGTTGAATTATTTGTTCACCTTATTAGCCATCTACTATTTCGATAGTTAACAGGAAAATATGCTCACATTCAATCGAACAGAATCAATGGTAAGTTTCTCTCAATCAGCGTGAGAGGGGCAGACATCACTTATCTGGAGTCCTCCAACATAAATATATAAAAGCAGTGATGGGAGAGGGCAAGGTCTCTTCAGTTTCCATCTCCGCTCTCCGTCATTTCCTCTTTTTGATAGCACTCGTAAATTTTTACGTGGGATTTTTTGGACAATAAATATACCACATATCCCAACAATAAAATAAGTATATAGCTCAACTGACAGCACATTCAACGACGCTGAAAAATGTACAGGACTTGTTACTGTGATGCAACCGATGACTTATTGCCTTCCCCCGGTCAGGCGCCAGGCTAGGATCTATCCTGGAAAGGGTTAAAATCTATAGCTTATTCTCCTTTACGCGTGTCCCTTTATCCTTAACAGAGGAGAATTGTGACAGCAATAAGTGAGAACAAACGGGTGGCCTTCTCATACTTATGGCTTTGCCACGATTCCGCTGTAAAGAGGGATCAGAGGTGAATCACTTTCTCCAAATCTCTTGAAGCCATTGTCAGTATCATCCTTCCGGCTTTCTGACCAATCAGCGTCTAGTCTACCGTGACGTGGACGGACGGAAAACACTATATAAACTCAACTTGGTGAGAGAAGGAGAGGGGAGAGGCGGAAGATGGTGAAGGGTTCCGGACCTCGCTGCATCAAGCGTCAAGCACTGGGTTAGGGTTCCCATTTTAAACCGAAACATTGCTATTTCTACTCGGTTGGATCCGAAGGGTCAAAGGGCTGGTTGAAGCCGGGCTTGGGTGAATCTAGTTAGGGCCAGATTCTGTTCATTCTGTTCTGTTCTGTTCATTACTGGTTGGAGCTGTAAGCAACGTTTGGAAGTAGCAAGGGAGAAATGGGTGTGTGGGCGTTGACGGCTGCAGCGAGAGCAATCCCTTTTTATTTCGTTGATTTAGCAGCGATTGTACCAAGTACAAGTCCTCGTGAACGTTCTGCATTGAGGAGGAGAGCTGAATCTTGTTGTTCTCCAAAGGGTTGACTAGTTTTATTTTGTAGATTTACCTCTCTCGAGTGAAAGCTGTTCCAGGTTGTGGTGAAAAGAACCTATCCATCCTTCTGTCAACTGGGTGAAGTGGAACTCACTTTGTAGATTGTATAAACTTTATATTACTAGTAGAATAAACAATATATGTGTGAAAGCCAGTCTGTTGGAATCCTTGCCTAGCGACTATTGAGTTCGTCCGACTAATACGAACCTTCCCAAGGAGCCAAATTCTAACATCCCTTTTTCTTCCTGGGTGACGGATGTCCAGCGTCCAAAGTTGCAGGAAAGCCGTCCTCATTTCGCCATTATCTCTGGACCATTTTGGCGCCGTGGAGGGTAAAAAATAAACCAATGAAATGATAAAACCACATCCAATTCGGTCTCTTTTGACGCAAAGAACATTATTCTAGAAAAATAAATTACTAAAATTATTTCAATATAAAATAGAGTGACTTTGGAAGCACACAGTGTTGGAAGAGGTCTCCAGTAGGAAAACAGTGACTTGAGGAAATTTTATTCACAGAAGTTGCTAGTATGGAAAATCTTCGATGGGAGAAAACCTATCTGGGAAGTGACCATAGGATTCGAAATATCCATTCGGAGATGAGTCGCTCTAGGATTTCTCCATCACAGAAAGGTCCAGATGCTGGTACATTTTTTTATTTCAAAATAATGTGTCGGAACGAAAACATTCACTCAAGCTACATTCCAATAAATTAGGGTTCTAACTAAATCCAATTAATGGCTGTACGTCTTCAAGGCGGTTTCCAGCAGTCATTGAAACAGAATTTAGTCCATATCCGGTTTCCCCCACAACATTCGGAAAAAGGCCGATGACATAATTATGAGAATCTCTTTCATGAAACATCATGAGCTCGATATGTGTAATAGTCTCAGCTGAAAGCGTAGGGAGAGGTTCTCTAGGTTACAACTGTGTATCTAAATAAATATACAGTATATAAACAAATATGTTGAGCTGCGATGGCGTCTCCCAGAGCTCCATACTTGCCTGAGATAAGCTCTCCGAAATAGTGCCAATTTGGAGCCACTGCTCCAATCTCACATGGGATTGCTCATGAAGTTGCTGAATAGGTGTGGAATAGTACATTCAGGAAAAATTTATGGAAATAATTAACGCCAATATCATCATTTGAGGTTAGCATTCGTCTATGATTTACTTTCTGTATTACACTTATTAATATGTTGGATATCTCAGAACACTGAGGAATTAGGCGGTAGGCACGATACTGGTTCTTTTGTCTCAATTCCATACTATATTAGAATACGCTAAGGAGATTCATGGTAGATGTAGCGTCTGTCCTATAAAGCTTTTGCCCCTGAAAGACATAGGCTAGGTAGTCCCTAGGTCAATGTGTATTTGCTTTTCCAGATCATAGGCAAGATAGCTGATAGGCCTACTAGTCTTTTCCTTTCATGACATAAGCTAGGCGCGTTTCGTGATACGTCCATGCAACTGATTTTACCTGCAAGCCTGTGCCTTTGCAGGACCTAAGATGGGTGGGATGTGTCAAACAGCTTAAGAACATGTGATGTGAAGGGCCCAAGTAAGAATAGCGGCGAGACTGCATAGGTCTGCATTGACCAATGAGCGAATTGAAGACATCAATGGCGAGAAGTGAGGTGCATTAATTGCAGAGCAACACAAGGCTATTAACGCTGCGCGGAGAATAGAGCGTGTACGCGGCGAACCTTAAACCATACTCGCGTTGGCTAGGACGCTCAACGTCATTCAAGCCGTTACACATGATCGCGACTCTATGAATATGGAATACTCTGTTGGGCACAGCCTGCGCTTTTCATTTCGAAGTGGAGAAAGGCAAACTTCGGCAAGATTGTCGTCAGGATCATGTTGCGGTGTTCCATTCGAACCTATTGGAGTTTCCGCAAATGGGGAAGATGAAAACGCTCGCAATTTTCGTGACTTTAATAGATAGTACAACAGCACAAACGCATCTGCTGCCTTTCGGCGCAACAAGTGTTGACATTACCGATAATGGTCCTTACTGCTTCTAAGCATCCGGTGAGGTCTACCGGGCGATCCATATGAGCTCATCGGATGTTAACCAGGCGATTATATTGCAGATAATATTGTGAACGAACTGTTTGGGCTACGACATAGGGTCTGCGATGCCGAAATGAGAAGCAAACCCGCTCATTCTGTGTCCCAGGAATAAGCACTCCAGTTCGGTCAATGAGGACGTGTCGTCCCGATTGGAAGGCGAATTATGTTCACATCGCAGTACCAAAATTGTGAAGAACGATGATGGTGGTGATGGCACCGATCGACAGGCCACATTTCTGCTTGAATTCTTCAATAATATCAATACTCAGAGTCTCTTTCCGCACACCTTAATCCTAAAAATTGGAAATATCCTGATGTGTGTACAGAATCGCATGATGGGGAACGACCTTTGCAACGACACGCCTATGACCGTGAGAGACCTGACCGCAAATGTCTTAATACTAGGGGAGTTTAAATGAAAAGGGGTCAATGGCTGATACTCTTAGTCTAGGGTATGAGACTAAAAGTCCCCATTTCATTCGATCACCCATAGTAGTTAAGGTGATCACGGGTGCCCTTCATGGCTGCGTTCACTTGCTGCCGAGAATTTCACTGGACACCTCAGCCCAAGTCACCATATCTTTCCCTCTTCGCCAACGTCAATTCCCTATCGAGCTAACCTATGGTACGACTATAAGCAAATTTCAGGGACAGACATTTGATCAATTCGGATTACTACTAATGGAGCCAGTATCCATGCATGGCATATGTACGTTGCCTGTTCGCGAGTTCGCTCTGAGTATTTGCAGAAGATTTAGATTATCGATGGACCGAAGCAGGGGAAAACTGATGCTGGCACCGTTACTGACGATGTGGTCTTTAAAGAAGCACTTCTATTGTTTCTCAAGTCCGTTCGTCGGGACTATTTTTGTACATTATGAAATAAACTTTCCGTTTCGTTCCCATTTGTGTCCCGTTTCTTACTTTTTCATGGTTCCTCCCATTCTTATTTACTTAACTCATGTTTACCTAATTTTGGTTGTAATTTTCGCTTATTGGCAGATGTAACACGCTGTGCCTCAGCGTATCTTTCATGCATTTATGTTCCATCATGAACTGTATATCAAAATTTGGCAGCGGGAACCAGGCAATGATTATTCTTGGTTGATGAACTGTGGCAAAAGAGTAGATGAACGGGTAGAAGGCCGCTAGTAGCCAGTAAAACGCGGATGAGGAAAAAAAGGAACATATCAATGTAAATATCCATTTTAAGCAAAACAGTGACGGATTGCCCACGTGGAGGATGTTAAGCTTCTTTCATATGTTGGGTAGGCTAGCCTTCAGAGTCCATTCACTGTTTGCATGCGTAGGCGGCAAGTAATTACCATCTCCCATTCTCAAACTAAATAGCTTCATGATCTGGACGGAGATGTCAGCAGCACAGGGAAAGGGATTAGAGCCAAACCACGGTTTACAGAACAAGGAGAATAATTAATGAATTTCTCTTTCCACTATCAGTGCCTTGTTTAACTAAAATATAAGACAAGGAATGGACAAACTATTCAATATGAAAAATAATAGGGACTAGCTAATGCGACCCCAAAAAAGGAGGTTTTCCTCATCAGGATTCACGGATGATTTCCTCGATGCGAGTGTCATCATCGTAGCTAGGCAGGTATCTCAAGATACAAGTGGTTTACGAAATAATTGGGGTCATAACTACTACGCCGCACTGCATTATTTTATTTCCGGACAGGAGGATTAATATTTCGAAGTGTTGTTTGCATAACACATAACATGATTCAATGGGCAACATTTTTCAAGTTGTCAGGGAACATTTCGCAACTCGCAAACTCGATCCTACTATTTGTGTCTCCATTTGAGAGGGCAATAATGAGTATTGGTTTAAATATTTTCTGACTTATATCTAGATAGATTCACTTGGTGAATCAGTCACCAGATTGGTTTGCCTTTATGATTCTGCCACTTTTAAGTCTAAAAACCTATATTCAATCAGTAAAACAAATGGTCATTTTTGGAATAATAATCACTGTATTATGATGAGCCTCGCGCTTGAGAGCGGTTACATTACAATTATACCTGGGGAATTATGCACTTCCATTGATTTTATACTTGTTCTATTTATGCTCGTAAGTATATTTGAAGGCAGTGTTCAGAATTTTTAATCAGTGTTCGATCTAATCCAATCAAATTCTTTTTTTTATATTGTCCTCGTTAAAATTGTAACAAACGAGCTTGTCTTTCATTTCAAAACTGCAACCTTTTAGCAAGCAGAAGAGGATATTAAGTACAACTCAAATCACTATTATTGGTCTGCAAATCAGATTTTCCTTAGGTGTTCATCCTTACGTCAGCTGAGGGACGGATTAAATCCTTACTTCAAGTATCTCCTGATCAGCAAAGTTAGCCTTTAATTAAAGAGTGCTTGTGCGGAAATGAATCGGTTTGGTTGAAAATGGGATTGAGATTATCATTTTGCGAATTTCTATGAATATTTGCCCCTTATCCCGTTCCCAATAAGTAGATATTGAAAAGAGATATTTCTTGCAATCAAGTGAGGATGACGACAATCTGCTTACCTAATATATCATCAGGCCGCAAGCTTGGCCTTTCTCAGGTTTTCTACAAGGGGAGAGGAAACACAAGGAATTGTGGATATTTTGTGAAGACGAGGTAAGAAAGTAGACTGTACAGTATACCTTTACGTTCTCTCCTTGCGTCCACAGTCTCCTTCCACAGTTCATGAGAGTATTCAAGTCTTACTCGTCGACTGGAAATACTGGTCTCCACCAGCTCCTCTGCAAGAGACGAGTATCTCATGGAATCAAGTGGGGCTTTGTGACGGAAGGGATATATAGGATGTCCATAAAAAACTTACAATTTTGAAGTTCGATATCTCCGGAACGGTAAGGCATAGAACAGTGACATTTTTGGGGAAAACTCAGGGGGTTATGGGATTTTATTTGAGACGGTTTTGCAAATTTTTATTAAATTAAATTTTTTCCCGTATTTCCACTCTTGCCAGTAGGAACCACTACTGAAAGTATGTAATAATATTCGGTCATAGATTGAAAAGTCATGACTTTGACTAAGAAGCAGAGAGACAAACTAATAAAACACAACTACATCAACGAGTGTAATGCTATTATTGCCTTGCAAAAATACCGCGCAGCACACAACCTGCGTTTGGGGCCCTGCCCGAGACAAGCTCTGATGCATTTTGTCGATAAGTTTGAGGGGACGGGTTGTGCTTGTAACAAATTGCATGGAGGCAGGCCGTGAACCCCTGTAGATGTTGTCACTGAAATCAGAGGTGTGATTGACGAAGAGCCTAGCACAAGTGCACATGATACGCACAGCAGTCGTGCCGTCGCCCGCCTTCTGAATCTTCCCCATTCAAACATGCCAAGTTTTTAAGGTAAACTCTACAAATCTTTCCTTACAAGCTGAAACGTGTCGAAGAACGTGTCCAAATGATTGATATCGAACTTCAAAATTATAAGTTTTTTTATGGATATGGATTCATGGATTCAAGTTCATGGATTACTTACCAATAATTTTGCAAAGGATACGATCCTCGCTTAACTTTAGTTCATCTGAAAGGAAAGGTGGCATTACTTGCAACTAAGAGGGCCTAACAATACAAATTGAGGAAAATGTGCGTCTTACCTAAGCTTTTTTCGGAAATCCTAATGTTTACTTGTCCTGTTTCGTCTGAACGGAATAAACAACATATCCTGAAATCAGTAGGGATATGCTAATTGCGAGAGAATGAAAATGAACTCCTTACCAAAGCTTTCCAGAAGGATCTTAGTGGCGATCCTCCCCAGTTTGTCTGCGAAAGAAGAGCATATTTTATGATATGTTACAACACTGTGGTGTAAAGAGAATTCACTCCATACGGAATCTTTTTAGAAGGATACGACTTCTGTCCAGTCCCAGTTCATCTGCAAGGGTAGTACACTTATAACGCACGGAGTGACATCGTAATGGAAATGTAAAAAAGTGTTATCTTACCTAGTCTATCGAGGAGGATGCCTGTATAATTAGGCCCCAATTCGTCTGCATGGGGTAAATAAATTTCAGGAAATGGAGAGGTATGGAATCGTATACTGAATGTTAGATAAATCCTGTATTACCTATTTTTTCAAACAGAATGTTTCTCCGTTTGTGCGGGAGAGGAAGTCCAATGTCCTTATGTCCAAAAATGATGTCCAACAAGATGCGAACTCCGGTAGGCCCGTGTTCATCTAAATGAGAAAAATTCACGAAAAGCAATTTCACAAGCATAACGATGGAGATGGCTCATGATGTTCTTGCCAAATTGTTGACGCAGTATTATTCTTTCATATGTTCTCAGTTTTCCTGCAATGAAAGCATTTACATTTCAACTTGCACGAAACATAGATTAAGTGGGAGAAAAAATGAACTCCTCACTATAACTTTCCAGTAGGATGCGAGTTCCAAACAATCCCAGCTCCTCTGCAGGCAAAACAGACATCCCATGCTAATAAATTGGGGATGGTAATGTTGAGGAAAAATAATATACTCCTTACGAAAACTTCTCAAGAGATTCCATTTTTCTTGTAACTTCCATTCCTCTGCAATGGAATTGGACATCCCATGTAATCAAATATAGTGTGGTCATGGTGAGGGGAAGAAAACAAATCCTCACGTAAACTTTCTAGAAGGAGATGAACTACAGCTGGCCCCAGTTCGTCTGCAAGATAATCATGAAAGTAATTCAGTCTGATGATTTATGGACATCAGGCCGGATTGAATGAAATTCCTACAAAATCTTTTCATGAGGATGTGCCTTTCGCCACGCCCTAGTACGTCTGAAAGGGAAAGGCATTTCAAGTACTAAGAACTGGAATCCCGACGAAGAGTAGAATGAATTTCAACCATACCAATTCTTTTCAGAAATATGCGAGTTCCAAGTAATCCAAAGGGGTCTGAAATGAATATAAAGCCCACATACAAGCACTTATGATTCGGTATTGACGATCAAATGGAAAGAATGCCCTACCAAGTCTTTCCAAGAGTCTGCATTTTGGGTCTGATCCATGACCGCCTGCATATTAAACGGGAATATAGTGAAAATCAAGTACGGCATTGAGAAGGTAGCAGAATAAAACATACTACAAACCTAAAATTTTCAGGATTCTGGGGCTACCAGCCTTCCTCAGTTCATCTATGAAAAGAAAAAAATATATATATATCATATATATATTAGATATATAGACGATCGTGACTGACTGACTGACGCTAATTCTAACCATAAAAAGAAGAACCTGATGGATAGCTGTTTAAATACGTTTGCCCTTTTCGCTGGTGGAAATACATGTTTGGAATAGACGACACACCCAACAGCAACGCCCAGAGAGGATGCAGAGTTCAGAAAAAATCAGACTTTGGAGGTACATGCCCAGGGGGTACACATTTTGGGGGGAAACGTTTTAATTAAATATATATTGTGACAGATGAGGACGGCATTCAGAGAGCCAACTGGATGTCCTGGTTTCGGTGGCATAGTAGTAGCATATCAGACCGGCTATTAGGAGGTCTGGGTTCAATTCCCAGCCATTCCTTGGCTTTCTTTTGGCTTATTTTGCCTTCCATGTCCCGTTACTCATTCCCCCTCCATAACATCATTTTTGCTTGAGTAAAATGGAGAGTCATGGAAAGCTGAAACCAGGAATTGGAAGAGCCTACAGAGACGATGAGTTCAGGAAAAATGTAAAATATAAGTTCCATGCCCTGTGGGGGCATATTCTTGGGGGCCGACGTTTTTATGTAATTTTTTTTGCCCTGGTTTATTGGGCTGGGGTGGAAAGATGAAACTTGGTACGTAACTACCTATTGGGATGCTGCATGCGGAAATATTCAAAGTTTGCAAGAAAATGCCCCCAGGGGCACAAATTTCAAAAGGAGATATTTTCAAATAATTGTTTGCATTATTTAACCTGATGAACATGGAAAGCTGAAACTTTGCATCAATGTGACTACTGAGACAAGGAGTTAAAGGAAAATGTTAAGTCTAGATGCATTCCCTAAGGACTTTTTCGTGGGGCGATGTTTAGAAAAACAATTTTGTCTAGGCGAATTGGACAGATATGGAAAGGTGAAACTTGGCACATGTATCCTTGACATGATATTGAGTTGAGGAAGTATTAAGTTTTTATGGTGCATCCTCTCTGGGCGTTGCTTTTGGGTGTGTCGTCTATTCCAAACATGTATTTCCACCAGCGAAAAGGGCAAACGTATAAAGTTGAAACACACCGGGGGCATGTAGTTTTCTGAGGATTGATTTCGGTAAAAATAAAAGAAAAAAAGAATGTACTTTTCGGTTAAAACGCCTCAGGGCACATATTTTGCAAAAGGCTTATTTTCTCGATCTGGCAAAACGGAGGCCGCTAGAAAGTTTATAATTGGAAAAGAAGAACCTGATGGATAGCTGTTTAAATAAATAAAAGTATACTTTTATTATATATAGAGGATCGTGTGTAGCTGACTGACATAAGTCACTATTCACATGCTGAGTTCAGGAAAAATTCTACTTTGGTGATACCTGACATAGGGGAACATCCCAAACTGCATGTTTATGTTAATTTTACGTAAAATGAATGCAAATTTTTTGTCCATTTTATATCATTTTTACGCAAACCATTGTCAAGAAAATGTCTACATGTTTGCAGAAATGTCACCTCTGTGATGCGTAAACGGTGATATAAAATTAACGTAAATTTTACGTAAAATTGACATTCCCGTTTGCCTTCCAAGCACCATGTTTACATTCATTTTACGTAAGATTTGTATTAATTTTCCCCTGGCATTCATGCGTATTTAAAGACTCAACTAGTACCATTGAAGAGAATTGACATACTGAATCTCCTATTCCTTTACGTTCTTCAGAACTCTAGGGTGGTTGGACGAGTACACGAGTACTCATCCTCACCAGCACTCTAAAAGAGTGCCAAAGTGACCTACTGCTTCCTTCTCCCGTACCGGAACCTCGGGAGAAGGAGTAGATGTTCAATCGAGCTCTCCTCCTTTTAGGTTAGAGAAGATATAGTACTTGTGGGGCTGGGATTCTACTCTTCCCTAATCCCGTGCACTGCTGTAATAAAAAGATTAACTTCAGCATTTAATGATTCCCCAAGTCATATATTATGAAAAAATATTTAATAATTTCATGTTTTCCATATATATATTCATGGATTGCATAATAAAAAGTGGAAGGATGGTAAGAAAACCTGATACTCTATCAGGAAGACCAGTACTTAATAGTAATTGTAGGATGCAGGGAACAAGGGTTCCATCTAGTGAGGAATCTTGGTACTGCAACTGCAGAATGGTCAGCTAAAGTTTCATATGGATGGTGTGGTGTTAATTTTTCATAAACTTGATATCATGTACTTCACGTCAGATGGAGTGACGTCTAGTTGATGTAAAATACACGTGCACTTTGGTGACGTAAATATAGGAACGTAAATTTTACGTAAACGTGATGTCATTTTCATGGCAATCGCAAGAAATTTACATTGTTTGCAAAAAATTGATATCTTGTTTACGTGAACATGCTGCTTGGGATATTTCAAAATAGTTCTCTTTGCTTCAATCAAACGGAGACACATGGAAATCTGAATCGTGGCAAGATCGTGACTCCTGACGCACTGAGCTCAGGAAAAATGTCAAATTTCCAATATGTTGCGATTTTGGGGCGGGGGATATTTATTGGGGACGTTATGTTTCCAAAGAATTTTTCATATCCCAGCCAATCGGGCAGAAATATAAAAGTAACAGCCGACGCACGCGTAACGGACGTGATGTTGATTTAAGGAAAAATTCAACATTTGATTCGCGTCTCCTCAGAGCACAGCTTTTGGGTGTGTGGTTTTTCCAAAGACTTTTTTTCCGCCAGCAAAAAGAGGAAACGTATGAGGCTGAAACTGGGTGGCATGGAGTTCCCCGAGTCTACATTTCAGAATAAATAAAATTTTCGTTAAAACCCATCAGGGCACTTTTTTCAGTGCCATTTTCCTGAATTTTCTTTTCATCCAATGAAACAAAGACAGATAATTTAAACGTCCCTCAGAAGTACCTGCTTGATTGCTGAGTACTGGTAAAATGCTACATTTGAAATATGTCCCCTTATTATAGGAGAGAAGTATTTCAAAATGTATTCTCCACCCTTCCACAAAGGGACACATGTAAAGATTTCAAGTTAGACACACTTGCAATCATAGAAGTAATGATTTTGATAAAAAATCAAGACATTCGTTCCCATATGTCACATATTTCAATGGGGAGTACTTAAAATACGTGTTTCCTATTTCGCAAAAAAATATTGATGAATGAATTAATCACTAACCAAAGTAATGGAGCGCCGAAGGCGCAACTATAGCGAGTTTGTCCGAAGAGCAAACAAACTCGCTAGTGAGTAAATATTTGTAATTTTCTGCAAGTTCCGTCTTTAGCTAGGCCTGTTCGATAGAAAAAGCGGTGAAAAAATTCCCTAGTCATTCGTTTTTTAAATTCAGCCATGAAAGGGTTAATTCATTTTCGAAGCAGCAAAACGTATTAAAAGTATGTACCTGTCGAAAAACGTGACATGACAGGACGAACCGATATTTTTTCCGAAATAATTACCTCGATGATTTCTTGTGCCTAAGATCAAATCTACTGATCAATTTGCTCTGAGGGGGCATTTTTGAAAAGTTATGATCTGCTGTCAACACTCGAACAGGTACGTCTGTACCAAGTTTCTACTTTCTTCAAATCTCTCAATTCATTGAATCAAAAAATGCATCATGAAAAGGCGTCTTCTGCAAAAAAAATGTGCACTTAGGGGGTTACCTAAAAAATAACATGTTTACAGAAATCAGTATTCAGAGAACAAAATGCCTAACAATTTTCAGCCTTATCCGTTTGCTCTTTTCGCTGGTGCAAACATTTCTTTAGAAAAGGCGACCTAGCCAAAAGCTGTACTCTGAGGGTATGCACAACAAAAACCGCATTTTTTATGAAGTCAACATCACCTCTGTTATGCATGTGTCAAGTTTCAACCTCTATATCTCTGCCCAATTCAGTAAGACAAAAGGAAAAGTTAGTTTCTCTATCGTTTTGCTCGATTAGGCCTATGAGGCATGTGGAGACAAAATGAAATTTCCTTCAGCTAATTTTTTCCACAAGGAAACATGCCGAAATAGTTCTCTTATCAACACTTTTGCTGCCATACGACCCGCTGGCGGGTCGTAAGGGCTCTCTCCTCCTAGGCCATACAACTCGCCGGCGGGTCGTACGTTCTCTCTTCTCCTGGGTCATACGAGCCGCCCGCGGGTCGTACAGGTCCTTTCTACCGTATCATACGACCCACGGACGGGTGGTTTCCATTGCTTTGCTTGATACGATCTATTGACCTCTTCCTTTCATCTTACGAATTTTATCGTCGCCTCCTGATGAGGTCAATTGTAAATCGAATTGGCGGTGTTTCATTTATTTTTGTTTACAATGTATTCAATATAAGCATGTCTCCGTATAAGGGTGAAATGGAAATGACATCTTCCTCATTTCAGCGTATAGGGTATATTATGGAAGTCTTTTTATATATTGATAGTATGTACGTGGACATATCAAAAAGCTCCAGAACCGGTTTTCATATAATCAAACTATGTGCAGCCGCTCTATTTCAGAATGATCCCCTTCGAAATACATGGATGACAAGAAAAGAAAGCAACTTGAAAATTTTCTATGGAATCCATACCTTGCACTTGATTAGCCTGAAAATTTAATGGAACCTTGCCTACTATGTTTTCCGAGAGCCCTTGCAATTATATGAATTTATTCATACCCATACATGAGTTATGACATATTTTGTTTTAATGGTAAAGAAAGGATTGAGCAATCATGCGACTGCCATTGTGAGGCACGAATCCAAAATGCATGAGGATCCCTGAAAATGCATGCAGATACATTAATTTTTGTGGTTGAGTACGCATTCTTTACGTTCTATTAATTTTTCTCGAGGATCCGTCCAGAGGAACTGATCCCATAGGGAAAAATCAAATGCGGATTCGTACCTCACCATTGGCAGTCACATGCCTGTTCACTCAGAAAATGTAACCAATTCAATTAAATCTGTCATAGCTCAAGAGTAGATGGGCAAGGGTGCATTTACTTCAACAGCTCTTGAAGAACCTCGTCAACATGGTACCTTTACATTTTCACGCCAATTTGCTGAAGAATTTATTTGTATGAAAAAAATGTTAAAGTAACTTAATTTTTTCCGGTCAACCCTCTAGTTCAACCTAACTTGCAAGACACATTTCCTTTCGTTTGTAAAGATCTTAGAACAGACTGTAACCCATTCTTGACAAATTTGTCCAACGCGTTGGTCGCAAGTTGTTTGGCTAGCGCCTGTGCCGTCGAAGCGGCGGCCATTCATCGAAGGCACTTCATTTTTGGAATCAGCCTGAAGTCCGAGGTTAAGGAATACGAAGAATGTGGGAGCAATGGCACTCCAAGATTGGTCAGAAATTCAAAGGTACGACATAGGTACCGTTTGATTGCCGGCAGTCATTGCGGACAAGCTCAAAGTTTTCTCATTACGGCTGGTCGATTGACGTCCCATGCGTTCATCATCTCCAGTGGATCCCGACCTTTCGCGGCATCGCTTGTGTCATGCACACCAGAATAAGGAGGATTACTTTGGCCTAAGGAGAATGACCTCCAAAAAATGGCTTGGCAGCGAAAGTGTAAGGGGAGAGAGGTCCCTGAATAAAAACAGGAACTGGCCACAGTATTCATGCTTTACACACTTGAGAACATCACCAGGAAAAATATTTGAGAATAAATTTAGACGTGATGACTTAGGCATCATAGGTTGTGGACAAAGGAGCGCAAAGGAACGCGAGAAAAGCTATACTGTAGCCTTCTTTCCTTCATTCTTTCCTTCCTTCCATTATCATGTACTAGTTGCTCATTATGTCATCAGTTCCAAAATTAAAGGGTTCCTCCTCGATCTTGTCTTATTATTGGTGACTTGGCGTTTTCATTGTCCAAGCTATGACTGTCACTTGCGGTATCTTATAAATATCTGCGATACTTCTTTTTACGGACATCATTAGTAACTATTTCATTGGCTGAAGTTGGATGCCACGGTCAAGTTCCTAAACATGTTTCCCTGAAGGACGTGTTCTGTTGGCATAGCAGATGAGGGAAGGAGAGTTTCCAAAATTCTCACATGGTTTGAGAGACGGTAATTTTACTAGGGCCCTATCCATGACCCTTAAGACTGGCACTGTATGAGTCATCCACTTCACCTCCACTCTACCTCGGAATATGGTTTTGTACCAGATTGGGGAGGGATGGCTATTCCCGTACTCCTGGGGCCTTTTCTCAATCCATATATTTCCAGTTCCTGGGGAAATAAAAAAATTACAGGTCGTGGATAAGATGTGAGCAGTGATGGAGGTTAGGAAGTGATTTGCAAAGAATGTATTTCATCCTGTAAAATACACATTATTTGCAAATAGATTACGGGCCACTTTGAATGAGCTTCAACTATCTCTCTGTCCTTGATGGATAACACCTGAAAGCTCATATATTCCATATATTATATTCCCCCACATACAGGGTGTCCCGTAAGTATGTACCTATTTTTATTTATTGAATACCACAAGCATACACAAATTTCCAGTTGAAACTTATATGAAACTGTTAGAGTAATCTTTGAAGTTTCGTTTAGTGATGAACATGTCCACCTGCAATACACGTCTGAAGACGTTCAACAAAATGATCCATACATTTTGCACAGATGACACGGGATGTGCCCTGAACAGCATTAGTGATGCGATCTCATAGCTTATCCGATGACTGTGTCGCGTGGCATATACTCTCTCCTTGATGAAATCCCGCAAAACTCTTTATTTTTATGTAATGGCTTTGCGTATTGGACGGCGCCTCTAAAGTAACTTTGGTATTTTCTCGGTACAACCACAACACTTTCATGAACTTCCAACCACGCCGCTATTTTACGTCTAATCAAACTTCTAACTTCTCAATTGAAATTGATCACATTGGACACATAAACCATCAGACACGACAGACAACATGACATAGCGCCACAGGCGCTTTTCACATGTCAACGCTTTTAAATAACCCCGAAAAAGGAATTCAAATTTGGTGTCAGGAAAAACAGATTTCATCAACAATATATGTGCATGCATTTTACTTCATTTCTCTTTCGAATGATGTAAACTATCAAATCTGGCATTACGAAGCAATTAAGCTTCAAAAGGTGGGCAGGACTCTAGACGAACCCCCATAGTAATAGACATCTACAAAGTGAAAGTAGATTTAAAGTATACCAAGGCTTTTATGGTCTAGCCTAGGGCCCAGAATGGCAGAGCCTTGTAGGCCTGGCGCTTTAGGCTGTGGATGGCCTGGCCTATGACCTAGAATCTCATAGTATCGTGGGCCTCGCGCGTTAATGCAGTTAGCCAACACAACTTTCGGCCTCTCTCAATTAAAGCTTTAGATTCTTACCAAACTGGTTTTCTTCTATGGTAAAAGCAGGATACTTTTTATGTTGGAGAGACTCTATCCCCAGATAGGACCAGAAAGGACACGTAATTATCACTCACCATGACCGGGAACAATTGGGAGGAAGCTGGGAAATTCCTGGTTGCCTTGGGCAAAAAGCAGGATACCAAGGCAGTTTTCCCCATCTTCTCTTCCTTCCTTTGGCAGGAAAGTATCTGTAAAACATATATTTTGGGCATGTACTCCCACCCCTTTGTGGGTTTCATTTTAAGTTCACATGTCAAAACGTTTGTCAATGAATGACGGCGTTTCGGCTCAAGTGATAGCATTGATACTTTTTAATTCCTCAACGAATTTTTTGTGAATTGTCTCCTTAATCAAGGTTAACACGGTTAGCTCTTGAGCTAAAAGGAGATCAAAATTGGGGGGACTTTATTTCGAGCACCCTATAGCATTTGACCTGAATACCTGATGAGGCTGAAATATCACATTTCCGATTTAGGGCCTAAAAGCCCTGTATAATATATTTAATCAAAGTCGGAGATGGTTGGGTGTTCATTTGCCAATTTTGGGGCAGAATTGTCATGGAATGACTTCATAGTGAGTCCCAGAGTGAATGGGAGACATTGTTGAAGAAAGGTGAAGGTGGTTGAAACATATATTGTAAAAGCCATTTAATGACGGACTTTCTTTGCAGATGGAGTGAAAGAATTTCCAAGCGTGGGACTCACAGCCAAAATTTATCCCGAAGAGGACGATGGGTCTTTTGAGAATTTCTGCTCCTTGCTTGAGTAGATCAAGATAGCCTCCATGATCATCAACCGCTAGTATCTTCTACATGAACAGATGCATTTAGAATGAGCCTGAGTCTGGAGAGCCAAGTCTCTATTTTGTATTTATATAACGGGCTTGATGCTTTCATAAAAAAAACCAACTGTAGAGGTAGAGCATAATATTAAGTTCGGAAGGTACCAACCCTATAGTAGCAGAGGTTAGAAGTGCCTCCCTGAGTCCTACTAGCAGAGTTCAGTCGAGCTTTGTCATTCAAGCGAATAACCCAGCATGTGAACTTACCATGCATGCCTTTCTTTTTGCCAAACACAGGTGGTCAAAAGCTGATACTTTCTCTTCATGGACTTTCGCGGGTGTCGCCCAGCTTGAGCTTTAGATATTTTTTCATACATTTCCCCTTGGCATCTATTTCCATAAATGCCAGGCAAGAACTACCCTGGTCAAACTGGGGTTCAGAATCCCACACCACATGAAATAGTTTCTAATCCAATCACATCGTGAAAAGATTTCCATGCAGAATGTGTTACATCAATATGAGTTTCGCTTGACCGTGGGAGTTTCAAGAATGGGAAAGTACAGGGTATTTATATTTAGGTCACAAGTACATCTGAATTGCAAATAGGGCTCATCCAGGCCCTGAGGGCTCCTTTCATTGACATTTAGACCATACATATCCATTCACAATCCCATGACTGCCAGTCCAATTCGCTGGTCAGTTCATTAGGCAAAACTATGGATGGAATTAAAACCTGAATGAGGAAGAAAGGGAAAGTCATACCTTCAAAAGAGCGAGATGTAGGAGGGATCCAGTGAGGGCAAGGGACAAGGACTCCAGGAGCCCTTTTCCTAACCTCCCAGTCTCCTGGAGCCCTTCCCCTATCCCCTTAGTCTCTAGGAACTCTGGGGGGAACGACTTCTTTCCCCACTTCACCCCTTTCTTTTCCAATATCTCAAGGATAACCTTCCTCTCCTCATAGGGAACCCTTGGTGCTTCCCCTGGGTATCCTGGATCGAGGAAAAAGTTGTTAATGTGTGAAGAGTGCTCCAGATCGCGCTTCACGAGAGCTTAAAGGAAATATTAAGACATCTGAATGATACATTCGTGAATTTCTTGAATATTTGTTAATCAGCTACATCCGCTCAGGCTTTATGATATAATGGGTACCGTGCTTCTAGTTAGTGAATTCAATCTCTCACATGCGGCCTATGGCCGCAATTGCGGCCTTCTACCCGTACATGTACTTTTTTCTCACTGCTCTTCAACTAAGAACAGTCTTAGCCAGGTTCCCGCTGTCAAAAATTGATCTACAGTTCACGATGGAACATTATGGATCAGAGAGATGCTGAGGCACAGCTTGCTGCATATGCCAAAATGCGCAAATTATAACCAAAATTAGTACAACATGGGTAAAGTAAGTATTCAATAAATATGGAAGGAACAATGAAAGATCAAGAAACGGGACATACGTGGGAACAAAAAGGAAAGTATATATCATAATGAAAGAAAATAATCCCGACGAACAGATTTGACAAAGAAGTGTTTCTTCAAAGACCACATCGTCGGTATTGGTTTCAGCCTCAGTTTCGCCCTGCTTCGGTCCATCGATAGTCTGAGTCTTCAGCGAATACACAGCGAACTCGCGAGTAGGCAATTTACAAATGCCATGCATGGATACTGCCTCCGCAAGTAGTAATCCGACTTGAACAAATATCTGTTTCTGAGACTTTGTCATAGTCGTACCGTAGGTAAGCTCGATAGGGAATTGACGTTGGCAAAGATGGAACGGTATGCTGACTAGAGTTGACGTGTCCAGTGAAACTATAGGGAGCAAGTGAACGCAGCCACGAAGCGCATCTGTGATCACCTCGACTACTATGGGTGTTCAAATGAAATGGGAACTTTTAGTCCCTACCCTCGATCACCCTTAGACTATGAGTAACAGTTATTGCCCCTTTTCATTTGAAACCCTATAATATTAACACTTTGCGTACCGCTCACGGAGATTCTCATTTTTGTGTCCTTTCGCGAATCATTTTGCCTAGCCAATGGCCGAAAAAGTCATCCTTGTAGGCATCGAGCTCTAAACTAAAGCAACTGAGGCTTAGGCCAGAGCTACGGGTCGACAGGGTAAAATGTCCAGTACGCAATGTGTTAATGCATTTACGTTCAGGTTTTCACGATCACTGAGAACGACCTTTGGAAGGACATGCCTATCATAAGACTCCGTACAGGCTCCAGATTTTAGGTTTAAGGCATGCGGAAAGAGACCCAGAGTATTGAGGCTTTCGAAGAATTGAACCGGAAAGGTGGCCTGCCGATCGGCGTCATCACCACCATGGTCGTTCTTCACAATGTCGATACTGTGATGTGGTGTCCACAATTCGCCTTCCAATCGGGACGAAACGTCCTTATTAACCAAACTGGAGTATTCATTCTTGGGATACAGAATGGGTACGTTTGCTTCTCACTTCGGCATCGCAGACCCTATGTCATTACTAAAACAACTCCTTCATCACATTATCGGAGATACGATCGCCTGGTAAACGAACGGAGAGCTTAGATCGCCCAGTACTCGTGGAAATGTTTCATACACAATAATAATCAAATGGATGTCGAATGATCGTAGTCAAATGATAGACCTCGCTGGATGGTGAATCTCGTCACCCAGCACAACTACTTTCCCACCTTTCGTCACCGTTTGTGATGTTGTACTGTCTGTTAAACTCGCGCAAATTGTGAGCATTTTCATCGTCTCCATCGACAGCGTTTTCAACTCGCGCGGAAACTCCGATTGATTCGAATGGAATACAATAACATGATCATGACAACAACCTAGCCGAATCATTCATTTCGAAGTGGAGAAAGGCAAAGTCAAGCAGTGCTCAACAGAGCATTCCACATTCACAGGGTCGAGATCTAGCGGAACGGCTAGAATGACGTTGGGTGTCCCTGTGAATGCAGCAAGAATATGGGTTAGACGTTTAACGCGTACGCGCGCTAGCCTCCGCGCAGGATTAACAGCCTAATGTTGCTCTACAATGAATGCAACTCCCCTCAGGGCATTAACGTCTTCACGTTGCTCACTGGTCAGTACAGACCTTCGCAGCCAAGCCGCTTCTCTTCCGCGGGCGCATTGCATCGCATATTCTTAACACTTTGCGTACCACCCACAGAGATTCTCGTTTATGGGACCTTTCCTGAGTCATTTTGCTTGCCTATGGCCGAAAAAGTCATAGCCTCGTAGGTATCGAGCTTTAGGCTAAGGCAACTGATGCTTAGGCCAGAGCGGCGGATGGATGGGGTAAAATGCCCAGTATCCAATGTGTTAAGCTGTTTAACCCATCCAACTAAGATCCTAGAACAGCACAGGCTCGTGAGCCTAACAGCCTGTATGAAGGAATTACGAAACTCACTAAGCCTATGACATGGAAAGGAAAAGGCTCGTTGGTCTATCGGCTACCAAGCCTATGTCTTCAGGGGTGAAAGCTTCATAGGCCAGGGGCTACACCTACCATGAATCTCCTTAGCATATTCTAATATATTGGTAGTATGGATGGATGTCGAAATATTTGTGGAATGAGCAGAAAATGCTTAGCCATAATATTGTTTCGTCCGGAAAGACATAACGTGTCAATACATAAGCCGCATAATAACTCATATCTTGAAGAAACAAGAATGATTAATGTAAGAAAATCGATTAGTCCCTGAACAGATGTCTTTTTGATGGCAAGTCCAAACTGAAAGTAAATGCCCAAAATGGTGACTTACAGAAAGGAAATTTTCGATTCCTCTGAAGTTGCAACTAAAATCTGAGACGAGCTTTTTGCGATCTACCAAGAAAAGCTTCAAAGTCTGTGTTTCCTTGCGACAAAATCTTATAGGATCCTATGAGATTTTTTAAACATAAAAGTCCTACGGTATTCTAATAGGAATCCTATTGGAATCTTATAGGAATACTATAGAAATCCTATGCGATGTTTTATCTCAAAAATATTGTAGGAATATTCTGGAAGGGCTTTGTTCCAAGATGGTTTACTGTAGATGTCGTTTACCATACCTTCCCTTAGTCCCACAGTGCATCCCCCATCCTTCAAAAATCCCAAATACATCTTCAACATCCCTTATGCAGATTCAAGCATCTCCTGAAAATGGCAATAACGTTCAGAGACGTCTCTGCATCCTCAAGCACCTTATTAACTCATGCTGAAAATTTGCAGGCTTTTAAGGAAAAGAAGAGAATGATGAAAAAATATGTTCTCGTTGTAATCCGAGAACTACAGATTTTTAAGACAACGGGAAATGGTTTTTTTTTAAACCTAGCTTTGCATTTCCTTTTTCAAATTCTAACTCAATTAGGCTTTTGTATCTCGAAATCACAATTTCCCTTCTTCAGTTCAATATTTGCAGCTACGTAGCATCGATTCTGTTCGTTCAATTTAAATTTATGCAGAACTGAATGAACTGAATTCTGGGTAAATTTTCCTCAGATTTTCTTTCATTTTTCCACAACAAATATGTATTGTATTGGACTTTTAAAAAAAAGTTAAATTATTTCTATTATCCTGATAGTTATGAGCCCGAATACCTTCAATTTGAAGAATGGAAACATCGAGAATTGATATATTTCACTACGATAAGGAAAGGAAATCCATGAAAGGACATTGTGTATCCCGCAGACTCTTTGCTTACCAATCCACTTGTATCCCCAATCGGCGAAAGGGGAGGAAGATGAGGGTGAAGTTGAGCCTTTGTTCAGGGTCTCCCATGTCCAAGAAGGAAGATTGTGGATGGCGCCTGTGTCCTCGTTGAAGAAGCCCTTTTCCTCTGCCGCCTTTCCAATCCTTTCTGCCGTCTCATCCCAGGTCGGCACCTGTGGTGCAAAGAAGAAAACATATTCCTAAATGAGATGTGCTACGATGCATCCTTCTCTAAATGAAGAAATACTTCACATACCTTTTAGGGGATTTCATTAGCTTAACAACGAAACCACATTTTTCGACAAAATGTAAGAGGAAAGCTTTGGACTGTCGCTTTCCAAACCTCTTCGGAAAAGTAAATTGTCTCGGCTACAGTCGTGGTGTGACTTCGATTGGTGCCCTTTCTGTGTTTGCCCTTAATGTCGGGCGTTCTCAGCGTCGAGCAGGCAGCGCGGCTTGGTAAAGTGTCCGCTACATGTTAGAAGGTGTTTTCATTTGCTGTGGAACTTTGAAACTTCATGATGGTTTTGAGTGAAGCAGACGAGGCTTTGTTTTAGGCATTGCGTGAGGAGAAGCAATACTCTGGATCAAATAATGACCTAATTTCCTAATCGTGGATGGCATCGTCATTTTCTAGAACTTTTGAAACAGTATTCATACGGATATTTAAATTTCGAAAATTGAAATAAAAGTTGCCCCATTTTTAAACCAATTGAGTGCTCTTTCGAATGAGTTATGCCTCATTCTTTCATGTCTTACCAATTCTGGGATATATCTCGTAATCTGCAAAATTCGGTGCAGTTTTTTGGCCACTCTGTGTAGACAATTGTGACTGAGTGACTGATGCTAATAATAAACATGCACTAGATGAGGTAGAAATCTGAAACTTAGTTCACAAGTTCGGATGCAGAGCTTAGAAAAATCCGACACTGGAGGTACATGCCCTAGGGCCACACATTCTGGGGGGAGATGTTTTCAAATAAATGTTCTTTGCTTCAGTCAAACGGAGAGACATGGAAAGCTGAAACCTGGCGTGAAAGTGCCTACTGAGACACTAAGCTCAAGAAAAACGTGAAGTTTCATATGCACCCCTTGGGGCAATTTTTTCGAGGGTGACGTTTTCGAAAATAAAATGTTGTCCTAGTGAACTGGGCAGAAATAGAAAGGTGAAACTTAAAACATGGATAACTGACATGATATTGAGTTCATGGTAAATTCAGATTTTGTGGTGTATCCCATCAGGGCATAGCTTCTTGGTGGGTCGGCATTTCCAAACATATTTCTTCATCAGCTTAAAGGGCAAACGCATACTATATTTCAAGTTCCTCGACAAGTTAGTGGGCACGAAGTTCCTCGAGTACTGATTTCAATAAATATGGACTTTTTGACAAAACCCCTCAGGGCACCTAAATTGCAAGAAGCGCATTTTACCCAATCATTTTTGATCCGATGAAACTTGGTACAGGAGTACCTCATGCCTAATTGAGAAAAGAAAAAATCCTATTTTTGAAATATAGTGCGTATTATAGGAGGGAAGGATACAGATCTAAAGTTGTTGCCACTTCGAAAGTGAATTGATGATTTTTAATCACCATCCTAGATTTGGAGCGTCGAAGGCGTTACATCATTATACACAATAATTGACAAAGTAGGAAGAGAATTAACTTCCAATTTGCATTGTTGACGTCCGCACCTGGGAAATGAATAAAACTCAGGTAAAGGAATTTTCATTGTGGCGACAAGTCACTTTCTGTTTTGTGCCGTGATCGCTAACTTCAAGTTGGCAACAGGATGCAAAGACAGGTTTCACAACACTGCTGAGAACCGTTGGGTTCGAGAGAAGCATTTCATGGTTTTTATGGTTATTCGTTACGCCCCTTGATAATGAAAAAAATATGGCTGCGAGAACTCATACCGTATAGTGTGATTTTCCCTGAAATGATGATTCCTAGATCTTCAATGTACGCTTGAAATGCCAAAAAAGTCACACCAAGAAGGAGTTGAGCGATCTCTATGAAATTTGGTAATCATACTCATATTAGTGTGCCATGTAATTGATGCTAGTTTCAAGGTCGTAGGTTTAATATTCGCAGAGAAAACGTGCCAAACATCCCAATTTAAATGGGGTCGGAAGGGTCGTACTTATCGTCCCCACAAAGAACATTTAGAAATAGTTTATTAATTAAATGCAAAACAGGAGCTTCTAGTGATGTTTTGAACATTTGAGCAAAGTTTAAAGGTCATAGGATGAAGCGATGCAGGGAGAACTTGCCGAGCTAGCCGGACGCCACGAGGGATAGGGAATAGAGCGACTGCACTGATCAGGCCAGTTTCATTTTCTGCTTCCCTCCATCCACTCTGCTTTGCCTCAATCATTTATTTTCCGTCTTTAAACCAATGCCAGCACGACGTTCACAAATGCAGTTCCGCCAACTTCACCAGTTCGATCAAGGTCGGTAAGTTGGCGTGATGGTGGTTGGGGACGGGCCAAAGGACTTCTTTGAGGACTCTGTACCAGCATGCAATGCAGCTGGGAATGCAGTCTGACTACCTGTCCGCACTACCAGTACCTTCCATGGACACGGGTAGAAGCAATTTGGTCTCGGAGAATCTACAGCTTTAAATACCGGTCAACTAACCGACCTCAATAGAACTGGTGAAGTTGTCCAACTGCCTCTGTGGACGTCGTCCTGGCATGGGTTTAAAGACGACAAATAAACGATAGAAGCAAAGCAGAGTGGATGGAAGAAACAGGAAAGGAAACTGGCCTGATCGGTGCAGTCGCTCTTTTCCCCATCCCTCAGGGCGTTCGGCTAGCTCGGCAAGTTTTCCCAGTATCGCTTCATCCTATGACCTTGACACTTTCCTTCATTGTACTAAACAACAGTAGAAGTTCATTTCATTACTAAACTTCTAGATGTTCTTTGTGGGAGATGAGTACCACCCTTCTGACCCCATTTAAATTGGTATGTTTGACAGATTTTCTCTGCGAATATTAAACCTACGACCTTGAAACCAGCATCAATTTCATGACGCACTAATACGAGTATGATTACCAAATTTCATCGAGATCGCTCAACTCCTTCTTGGTGTGACTTTTTTTTACGATGAGTGTCTATTGATAAATCCCTCGAAATTTCTATTTAAAAAAAATCACAATGGACATTCTTCGATCTTGAAGACATCATTGAATTGCAGTTTTCATGGAAGAAATCGCTCTTTCCGTCAGTGCGTACTTTCTTTTAGAAAACACGCTCCAACATTGTTTAATCTGCCTCAGACAGACTCTTGGATCAGAACCGATACGAAAGATAAATCGTAGCCAGCAGGATTTAAGTACTCGTTATCGTTTTCGTTGAAATACTAACAGCAGGTGGTACTTTCTAATTCAAAAAATTGCCTCCAACCTTTAAAACGCTTCTGCGGCTTCACTAGATTGGAGAATTTTTCAGAATTTTTTTTCCCCATCGGAAGAGAATATGTAGATATATTTATCTTAGAACATACGCTACGATAACAATAACCAAATTCCAAGAAAAGTTAATGCAATGGATGGTTGATTTTCTCCGAAACCGTTAATCCACGTATATAACACGCAGTTTACCGAATCACCTAAGCATGAAGGAGAAATCGTGTGAAGAGGAGAGTGGTCTCATATTGATTGTCATGGTCTAAAACCTTGCACAAAAAATGTGTCAATTGATTAATTAATTTAAAAGTTAATTACTTTATTTCCTTGGGGCTACCATTTTAATACTCTCTCTTGGATCGGACTAGGCAGTCTCTTCGATGTCAACGATGCCCTTTACATCTGATTGCTAATTGCATTTTTCCTACTGCTAATTAACAATTATCCATGAGGGAAAGACTTCCAACCCGTCGAATGGTGCATGTGATATATCAATCGCAAGCTCTTGATGAGCAGATTGCTATGGTGTATATTTTAGCTGCGAAAGATGAGAAAAGAAGCAGTATTTTAAATGTGTAGTCACGTTGAAAGGAGGGCGAGAATGTCCGTTTTCGTTGGAACAGAAACTCTTATTTGTGGTGATAGGCAACTTCATTGTATGTGCTGGGTTCGGTGGTGCAGTGCCAACGCAATGGATCGAGATATAAGTGCCCCGAGTTCAAGTCCCAGTTGTGCCCCGCATTTTTTTCGTCCAATCTCGGCAGCCGTCCCTACCTTCAGTCCTCATGACATATGCCCCAAAGAAAAATTCAGCTCTCTAATATTTTCACGCATGGATTTTGCGTTATTGATCTATGCCCTAACTAACTAACCCCAGAAAAAGCAAACAAAGAAGGCACATCAAGTGACCCACATTCATTCTATGTTTGGCCGAACGAGCGAGAGAGTCAGCCAAATTTGGGGAATGATGGAGCAGTTGAATCAGAAAATAATCCTGGCCAAAGGCAACAGCCCTTTTCTAACCCAACTGACCCATCATTTCCCCAAAGCAGGTTGACTCTTTGGCCTTTGAAGGATCTTGAGAAAAAAATGTTTCAGTCAAAACATTTTTTTGAGGTTTATGCCAGCGCCATGAAGGGCCTCACCAGAACAACAAAGACTAAACCAAAAGTGCGTAAGGAAACTTGACTCGAGTACATTGCGCATGCACGGGAAAGTAGGAGAACAGGCAGCAGACGTAATGGCCTGGGCGAGGCGTCGAACATCCCTGCTCCAGAATGTCCACGTAGAACGTAACCATTATCTCAACACATTTATATTTTACACTCATACCTCAACTCTTTCGGTGGAAGCATAAATCCCTGTAACATATTCATGTAGTATTTTCATTTGATATATTGCTTGCAGCATTCTGCGGGTAGTCCACTCCACCACAGGTCACTGCGTTCCGCCAGTCACTGTAGGCCGATGGAGAAAAAGACCATCTGAAAGCGTATTCGCTTGCACCAAACAAGAAACATGATTGCCAACCGAACTGTCCGCCAAATCCGTGTGCCAGATCGATCCAATTGAGTTCATCCGCATCCCGTGCCTAGCTTAAAATCATCCATTTTATCCAATGCCTGGGTGTTCGAAACTTCAACTACGTGCCTAACTTGAATGCTACAAGGTGGGCATGACTGAGAATTTGCATTCATCCAGTTGAGGGTTCCCTGATAACACAAGGAATCCCCTATTGTTCATCCAAAGTGTGTCACTTTGAAATTCGAACGTTATCCTTTTAATAATTTATTTTCTCTTACTGCTAAGTACAAACTAGACCTGATTTATTGATGTGTGTTGAAACGTTGTTACCAGCGAAGCGGATCCCGCGGGACGCGGGTGTGGTCTAGTAGAAAACATTTCCTAACGAGGAGAGACTGTCGCGAACAGAAGAATAATACTTACCATGAGAAATTCTTCCTGGTTATCGAGCGTCAGCAGAATCCCAGGGTCATCTGGAATTTTCTCGGGAAAGGAGATAACTTCTTCCTTCACTCGCACTTCCTTGATCATTCTTCTCCAGAGATCTTTGTGGCTGGGGAGACTGTCGATTATGATGAGTTGAGTCCTGGAACGGGAGATCACTTCCAACAACCAGTCGTCGTCCACGTTCACGGAGATAACAACTGAAGCCTCGCATCCGCGAAAGTTCTTTGCATGTGTCACTTCTATATCATGTCGTGATTTCTGGACCTGCAGAAGTTTCAACAGTTCTTCATCTGAAACGAGAATGTACGGCTTGCCTTGGCGTGTCGTCTTTTCATGGTCACAGCTTATTTTTGGAAGGACTGTCTCTGTAATGTAGGATAAACCAGTCCTATACTTCCGACACGTCTCTCCATTGCAGATGTAGCCTAAATGAGACCCCGAACATTTGGGCTCTTGGATGCTTATATAACGAACGTGTGGTCCCGAGACAATTGCAGCGGGGATATCAAGCAAGGGGAGATTCTTTGCTTCCAACCTCAAAGCGGTTCGAATCTCGTTCTCCTGGATATGTCTGAGGAGGCGGACATTCATCGGCTGAGTCGGAAGTACTATTGGAGTGCATCCTGGAGTCGTTTTTAGGAAGTGGATACCTTCCCTCACTTCCATTTCTGAAGCGTCCTTTGAATGTGGCTTGAAAGAGAGGATCAGCTTAATCTTCATCTCTTTTAGCTTCTGAATGGTTCTTTTTTTGCACAAGTCCTTCCAAAAAGGACAGTCATCCACTACCACGAATCTCTCTTCCTTCTTGAACAGGAAGGAATCCAATTCTTCTTCGTTTTGAGTTTCTTTCTCCTCCCTCTTCTGCTTTCTTCCTTTTTCCTCTCCACTCTTCCTCCGCTTTATTCTTTCTTCTTCTCCACTCTTCTCTTTTCCTCCTCCTCCTCTTTTTACTTGGTATATCTGGATGATATCACGGAAGGACTTAAAACAGCCCGAATCAAAGGGAGAAATAACCACATTCGATTCACTTCCCCAACGCCATCGGTAGATTTCCCGAGACAACTCGCTTCCAATGTACAGATGCACTTGGTATTGACGATCTAGAGTCAAACGTCTAATCAACAGATCCACTCGTCTTGATTTTCCCGATACAGGGGGACCGAATATTCCACTTAGCAAAGATTGAAGCATCAGATGAACGTCCTTCTCCTCCCCTCTCCCTGGAATCTCGTATTTATCCAATTCAGGAAAGTTTGCCCGAGGGAGTACGTCTTCGAGGTTAACCTCTTTGTACTGCTGCCACATGGTCTCCATTCTACTTTTGACATCATCGACCGTTAACTTCTTGGGTTTCCCTTCGAAAATGCCCTCTGGGACACGAGAAAACTTCCCTGTATTGAATTCTTCTTCCTCAATTACGACGGTCTTCCTTTCTCCATTGGTAGCTATCAATCGAATGTAATTCATCCATTTTGAATGTGGGAAATCGATAACGACTACCTTGTTCAAGTAACATCCCATCATTTCCTGTTCTGTGACGACAACGAGTGGGAACGAACATTCGGGGGCAGGCCGCCCACGCCATTCCCATTCAAAGTTTTTCGTCAGAATGCTTTTATTTTGAAGGAGGATGAGTAGAGGTTGGGAGGAAGGAAATATGTTCACAAGAGCGCACTTTCGCTTCTCGTCGTCAACCACAACGAATAGTGGAGACTTTTTTGACGACTTGGAGAATTCTTCGAAAATGGTCTGAATAGCGGACGAAGCCCTCAATGCCTCGCAAGCCACTTTGTTTTCGCACTTGTACGGATGCAAGGAATAGCAAGACGGAATGAGAAAAAGATCTGGGAGAAGTCCTTTCACATGTTCTCTCTTTTCTATATCTAATAGAAGTGACTTCTCCTGGGATATGAATATCTTGCGTGAGTAATCCCCAATGGCTAGAAACAATTCAGCAATCCTTCTGCTGTTCCTTTTCACTCCCTTGAGAACTGTCACTGGATGACCTCCGGGCTTCACATCTTCGAGCGGGAAGTCTTTCGTGTAGGACTGGTCGTTGGGTCGAAAGGAGATCGCGATTGACTTCACATGACTTTTCATGTCCACGATCCATTCCCAGTGGTCAGAAATATTTTTTGCAGTGAATATGCCCTGGAATCCAAACGTGATAGGGACTTCGTCGATGAGGACATGTCTTTCTTTTCCGCTTTCCCACAGGAATTTCTGGAATTGTTGAAGGTTTTCCTCCAGCCCCTTCTCTCTCCCATCTATGACCTGGATCCGTGGTTTCATTTCTTAAACATAAAAAATAATATTTATATTTATGTGATGATCGTATGTGAAAATTCTTGAACTGAAGTTCATTCCAACATTATAAAATCTTCAAGTGAACATTCCTCTCCTTTCCTCTCCCCCAGATGGAAGATGGCTCTGCCACACTCTTAACACTTGTCTTGAAAATGCATCGTATCATAATTATACCAGTGGATTCAAGTTACAGACATCTTGCCTCCACATCAGCACCATATATTTGTAAAAGTAACAGTCAGGAAAATAGTGAACTGATTTATTTATTTAAAAGTAACAACTCAATCCCACAGCAAAGCTTCAAGCCCTGATCCCACTAATCTTTTAGTCATGCTTCTTTCATTTCTTCGAACTCATTGCTTCGCCGAGTTTAGAGGAGTTCGCTTAGTCAAATTTTACTCTCCCGTCCATCTTCATAATTCCTAACAAATATTCAAGTTTCCCGCGCTTAGAAACGTTATTAAAAATATACTTAGAAATTTAATTGTTGAATATACAGGGTGTCCCATGAGTCACTATACCGAGTACCGATGTTTCTATATTTATATTTCTACTTTTAAAATTTTGAATAATCAGAATCAGATAAACGCTGGTTTGTTTCAAATCTCCTTTGTGTACATAGGTTCGTGAATGAAGTCGCACCAGAGCGGTGGATGCTATTTCCACTGCGATGGAAATTCCAAGGGATTGCGGATATTTCCCTTTAAATGATTATAGGTTTTTTGGAATCCGCGCTAGAGGCGGTGCGAGTTCGTGAGCAAATTGAATATGACATTTTTTCTCACCGAATTCAGATCTGAAGGAATCAGTCAGGAGTCCTCCGTGGAGATTCATCAAAAGCACTTCACCGTCTTCCGCTAATCGGATGGCTCTTTTTTTCAAAGCAACGGTTTTGCCCGTTCCTGATCCTCCACATATGAAAATGACGTTGGATTCAATATTGACCAGCTTCCGCTGTTCTGGAGTAAGAATTGCGAGCACATTCCGCATTTGTTTCTCTGTCTTCTCGAGGAACTGATCGAGGTTGCGCGGGATGGACACACTCGATGCAGCGCAGACGTAGAGATCGAATATTTCCCTGAAAGTCTTCACAACGGGCGACTCGGGATCCCAGGACTGCTCCATCGATATCTGGTGCCTGGTCAAGAACGTCTGGAAGCTTTTCGGATCCTTTAGATCTTCCGAGGTGAGGATTCGGGACCTGCACTCTCGGCACGGGTTGGGACACTTCAAATCAAATTTGGAGAGCATGGGGAAAGCGACGAAACCGGCTAACTTCACATCCGAAGTGATAAATTCGCCGCAGACGGTCCTGAAAATTCGAATGTCTTTCTGAACTTGCTCCGTGGCTTTTCTCAGCGACTGCAATATTGTTTTATTGTTCCTCTTTTGCCCTGTTCCCTTCACTTGAATGAAAATTCCCAAAATTTGCTGGCCAGATATTCCAAAGCCGAAGATGTCATGATCGCCAGGTTCCAGATTTTCCAAGGGAACTCCGAAGTCCTTACTGAATATTTCCATTTGTTTCCTTTTGATGCCCTTCAGAAAAGTACCTGCAAAGGCGTAGTCCGCGAGAGTGAGCGACGGCACGTCTTTCAACAGATACTTCAGTCTGTCGAACACGATTTCAACGGACCGGTCCCCCGAAGTAAAGTCTATCGCGTCTTCATGCTCTTCGCGTTTGTAGGCTTCGCACAGCTCCTTAAATTTCGCAGTACTCGGGCAATACCATTCGGGTAGAGAATGTGCCTTAGCGTTGGCGTCAGGGTAGTGCAGTTCCACGTATTCTTTTGCGGCTTCCTTCATGGGTTTTTCGATGTCAGCCCCAGTGTACACCTTAAGGTAGTCCCGAATGTCCAGGTCTCCCAGCCTTTCGTATGTTCTCAGTCGTCCCAGGCCGGATAGATCTTCGCACGTGCGGCACGGCTATGGAACAAGGTATGTGAACACATCATCTACATACTGTACATCACGAATTGCGGATGTCTGTTTCACCGGATTTTTTCCGGTGAACTCCTCCCGGGTTTCTCAACCGATTTCCATCAACGATAGCTCATTCGTTTTCTAATGTATGGAGATGTGCAAACTTCTTTTAAATATTTTCCTGAGTTGAACTTCGACCTGATCAGGATGACCTTTCGCATTAATTTTGGATCCAAATTCTTGTGATATTTCATTCGAAAGCCCTTGATCTTCTCTGTCGGAATTTGTTTTTATATTGCAAAATGTTACAATTTTACCCTACTGTGGTCAATCTGACTTGACAGTGGACTAGCGCCATCTCTGTACAGTCCAGATAACGGCTTCGTAACTACCTACGGCACCAGTTCTCCACACAGGGTGGGCCCAAAAAATCCGGACACTTTTCAACGATACGTTACACTCCACTCACTGCAAATATTTTTATGCGGTTTGCGGCGTTTGAAAGAGAAATGAGTCAGCTTTAAAATGATTGCTTACATTTCAAACATCTTCAATAGTTTCAGAAATGCGGGAAGTCAAATGAACAACATAAAATAAATGCGTTGCCGTGCGCTCGGTAGCATTCGGCGTGTTGCATTCAGCCGTCGCCTGTCCGTTTCCACTGTGCGTCAGCATACCGTTTTTAAGCTTTCACGTTAGCACATCATTGTGAAGCTGATTCATTTATCTTTCAAATGCTATGAACCGATTTAAATATTTGCAGTGAATAAAGCGTAGTGTATTGTTGGAAACAGGTGTTTTTAGGCCCACCCTGTACATAGTCGTTTCTTTCTGTTAAAGAATGGTAAACAATGCTTTCATGAAGAATATTTTAGAAACCGAGCCCGTTTTAGCGCCACACATGGCCACAAGTCGTTCAAGAAACGAATCAACTCTCCGTCTGACCAAATTCTCTCCTGCAAGAATGCTTAGCTTGTGACCTCGAAACGGAAGAATAGGAAATTGCCAACAAAGGGGGGAATTCATGGGAATTTTGTACTAATGGAAAATAACACGCGTCGGTCCGCTCGCCCTGGAAATTTCAAGAGAGCCGGGTTTTGAAGGGAATCTACCGCATTTCTTTTTTTAAATTTAAAAGACTGAACTTATTTCCAATCGACCTGCATAATGTATTTTTCAAGCGAGTCCTGTTCTTGAACGAATAAAGCAGAAGATAACAGGAGCTTAAGTACAAAACTGGAGTGGAAATTCTCATTTTTTTCAGGCGGAGGAAATTCTATCATTCCATCCTCCCACAGCGCTTACCCTTGATGTCTGATATATGTCACATCTCTCATATATCTAATATATATAGACGATCGTGACTGACTGACTGACTGACTGACT